AAAAAACATCTAAAATATACATGCCTTTTGATAAATAAATTCGAAAGATGTAGAAAAGAATGACAAGCGTACTACTTAGGGCTATTGAATTGACAAAAATAAGGCATAATCTCGGATGGACAAAAAAGATACCTATTTAGAGATGAAATGACAGAGTTACCCTTCATATAAAAGGGAAAAATTGGCCTATTTTCTTCCTTGCGTATCTGCTCTATCGTCGTTTCCATTCGCCTGGGTATATCGAGGTTCTCAGGCCTCAGCCATCGCCTCCGTCCGCATCACGAACGTCCCCACCATCTCCATCTTGAGCCGTCGCCGCCTCCGCTAGAGCAAGTCGCCAACGCCGAATCATCTCAGGTCAGAAATTTCGTCCCACACAGCCACGACAGTTTCACACCTCCGCCCTATCCGCCACCGTAGCTACACCACTTTGTCGTGTGCCACCATAGTAGCTCTGCCTTTCACCTTCTTTTTCATCTCATTCTGTCTTTCTGTCTCGCGTCGAGGATGGAGAACCTGAGGATCAGAGATATCAATCAGTGAATTTCTTCCTCCTTTTGGGATCTAGATCCGTCGTGTGGCTCTACGGTTGGGGCTGATTCGAATCCAGAATATCGTGTGGCGGCTAGGGTTAGGGATGGTCCAGATCCATAGGGTGGTGTGGGGGCTAGGGTTGGGGTTGGTCAGGGATTGTGACAGCTAGGGTAGGTCATGGGTGGGGTGTGGTGGGTGGGTGGTGGAGTCTGGTGGGGCTGGGGTTACTGGTCAGTGGAAGGGGCAGGACAGGCGGTGCCACGGTGGTGGTCACTGGCGGTGACGGAGCGAGATAGGCGGTCTCGGGTCATTGACTAGTTGTCGTGGCAATTGGTCACTTGCTGCCATCAGTGGCGGTTGGCGGGTCGCCCGATAGGTCCCGACGACAGTCACTATCAGATCGGGTAATTGTAAATAGTCAAATCGGGGAATTGTGATGGATTTTAACTGATTAGACCGAGTAACTGTAACTGATCGAGTAAATGTAACTATTGGATCGTGTAGCTGTAACTGGCGGGTCGGGCAAGTTTAACTGATTGGGATATGTAATCATAACTGGTCGGGGTAGGTAATTGTAATTGTAATTTTGGTCACTGTCGGATTTTGGTCATTGATGGATTTTGGTCACTAGCGGATTTTGGTCACTGGCGGATTTTGGTCATCGATGGATTTTGACACTGGCAGATTTTGGTCACTGGCGGATTTTGGTCACTATGGTGTTATTAGTCACTGTGATGTTACTGTAGCAGTAATAGGGGTATAATAGTCTCTCAATCACTTCTTAGTCTTATTTTTGTAAATTGGAGGAGAATGCCACTTTTTTGTCCATAGCTCTTTTTTTAGTACTACGTACATAGTATTATTTTAGACAAAACCCCAAAGATGTATAGTTACTTAATTAGTTTTAAGACATAGTGGATAGACTTTCCAAGGACAAAAATAGACCCTGGGCATTTTCCCAACAATTACTATCAATATCCACCGTTTGATATTTGATCTCAATAATTTAATCCAACGATTTATCTGAGTAATATTCACTTAGCATTAACATGACCTCTTAAATATTTAATGAAATATGTAAAATGAAAAATTCTTGTTGCAGTCATACATACATAATTTGCAAAATTCTCGTTTACATGTTCTTATATGCACTCATACATACATACATACATAATCTATAGATAATACATTTGAATGTTACAATTAGGGAAACTATTGCCACATGTCAACTCCATAGTTATCCTTTTAAATTTAATTTCCAAATTAAAGGAAAGTAATCCTACGTACGTATTTCATATAGGAATTACTCTAATGTTAACCTATTATTTAGGGTCCTAACAAAATAAAATCCCAAGTTTTTTTAAAGTGTTATAACTTTTTCCTGTGTATTCTGATTGTTATAAAATATTTATCAAAATTCATAACTTTTTATTATCTTTCAAATGACACCCATATCAAATACACAAAAATAAAAAATAATTTAACACTTTAAAAAACATTTGTTTTATTTAAAATTATATAACTTTTTTATTTGTAATCTAATTGTTACAAAAAATATATCTAAAATCATAACTTTTTATTATCTTTCATATGATACCAATATTGATTGTATAAATTTAAAAAACATTTGTTTTTCAAAGTGCTGTAATTTTTTATTTGTACTCCAATGGTTGCAAAAAGTATATCAAAATTTATAACTTTTTAGTATCTTTTGAATGCTATTAATGTTGCTTATACAAAAATTAAAAAATTAGTTCTATTAATTTGTGCAGTTAAGGATCATTTTTTTACTATATAAAGATGAGGGTATATATATTACATGTGCAAGTTCGGGGTACTTAACTAACACCCCTTCAAAGGTTGGGATATTCAATTAATAGTGTGTACGAAAAAAGTTATGTTGGCACCATCATCATATAATTTTTCGAAAATGTAATTTTATAATGGTAAGCACAGAATGTAAGATTTACAAAGTATTTATCTATAAATAATACATTTGGAGGTTACAATTAGGGAAAATATTGCCACATGTCAACTCCATAGTTATTGTTTTAAATTTAATTTCCAAATTATAGCAAAGTAATCCTACGTACGCCGTTTTTCATATAGGAATTAGGATATTTTCTTTTGGAATGTTTTCAGTCCCAGACCAGATCAGACCAGACCAGACTTCCATAGTTATAAAATACACAAAGACCAAACGTTTACCAGACCAGTTCAGACCAGATCAGACAAGGCCAGACCTGCAAATTTATGTCCAAAAGAAAACATCCAACTCTAATGTTAACATATATTTTGGGGTCCTAAAAGTGTTATAACTTTTTCATTTGTGTTCTGATTGTTATAAAATATATATCAAAATTCATAACTTTTTATTATCTTTCAAATGACATCCATATTAAATACACAAAAATAAAAAATAATTTAACACTTTAAAATACATTTGTTTTATTTAAAATTATATAACATTTTTATTTGTAATCTAATTGTTACAAAAAATATATCTAAAATCATAACTTTTTATTATCTTTCACATGATACCATAAAATTGAGATCATTTTTCATTTCTAAATATGGGGCATCTTTATTTTTTATTTTTTATTGTAAAGTTTTACATGTTTATGTTTCGGTTACTATCTAGCACTTAGCTTGACGTGAGAATCTTTTTATAGGTTTAATCATTTGCAACTTTCTACGTTCAATTATACATATTTTAAATCAATGTAATGAAAAATAAATCGACCGCTACTAATCGCGTTATGCAGCCGGACTGTTATCGCCGCCATTACCTTCATTGAAATAAAAAAATATCACAAAATTATGTATTCTAATTAATTCTTCTCTTAAAGAAGGAGATAGAAGGACTAATTTGCTCAATTCTAAATCCTAGAAGGGTTAATATTTTAAAAAAAATGACCACACCATTATTAAATAAATAAATTACAAAAATGAGTGGTTATAAGTTTTGAAAATACGGTGAGCTACAGATGAAATCTAATGGCTAAAAATAGGCATTGAGCAATTTTTTTTTTTGTTTATATAAAGATGTTTGAAAAGACGAAATTCAATTGGATGCAACAGAAGCTATTAAAAGATGTGCTTTTTTTTCAAAAAAAAAAAGATGTGCTTTTTTAATTGGATAATATATACTGACAACATGTTTAGATATTTAGTTAAAAATAAGACATACTCAATAAATAAGATTTTTTTTACTCCAGGGGGCATGTGAGGGAGGGTGCTGGGGGCCTGAGTAATTAAGACTGAAACCCACTCTATTGAGTTTCGAACCTGAGACCTCCCATAAGGGAGAGTGAGTCGGCGACCAGCTGGGCTGGATCGCTTCTTCAATCAATAAATAAGAATATACATTATTAACTAATGTTATTATTGACTAAATAAGTGACTTTACGTTAATTTTAATAAGGCGTATGTGACAATGCACGCGTACACACTCATGTTAAAACTAAAATTAACCATTTTTTCCCGTGCACGGCACGGGTAAAAATACTAGTTTGTAAAAAACTCAAAATTTTATAAAAGGAGTACGAAATATCTGTGCGGCAACTAAAATTGGCCAGTATATGCTCAAATGTGAACACGAAGCATGACTGATGTAAAATATGGCACATAGTAGAGTACTCCTTCCATATCACTTTTATTGTCACACTTTTCTTTTTGAGTGTATCAAAATGATTGTCTCACTTCTATATTTGCAAATAAATCCACTCATAAAGCAGCTACAGTGTCGCTACAGTACTGCTACAGTGCTGCTACAATATCAAATAACTCTTACTTTTTCAAAAAGTGTACATTAAACTTATAATTTTTTTTAAACTACTACAAAACCTTACTGTGACAATAAAACTAATATGGAGAGAGTAGTAAACACCATTTTTTTAAAAGTGCTTTGTATTTATTTTATTTTATTTTGAAGGGAAAAGGTGCAAATAGGCCCATGTACTAACCAAAAAAGGTCAAATAAGCCCTTATTTAGGAGGCTCTGTCCGGCCGTCGTCATTTGGGGTGGTTCCCGGTGGAATTTTTTGATGAAATTTTTTGAGCATCTTATTCATCAAGTCTAGTTTACTCATACCAAATTTCAGTTAAAACTTCAATCGGGAAGGCATTCAAATGAATTCTTGAAGATAACTGCGCTTCTAACTGCGCAGTGATTTTCAAGAATTCATTTGAGTGCCTTCCCGATTGAAGTTTTAGCTGAAATTTGGTATGGATAAACTAGACTTGATGAATAAGATGCTCAAAAAAATTCATCAAAAAACTCCACTGGGAACCACCCCAAATGACGACGGCCGGACAGAGCCTCCTAAATAAGGGCTTATTTGACCTTTTTTTGATAGTACATGGGTCTATTTGCACCTTTTCCCTATTTTGAAACAAACATTTATTTTAGAAACTCACCCTTAGAAATTAGGACATAGTAAGGGCTTAAATCGTTTCAACGGCATATTGATTTTTCTTTGTCGCCGTCAAAGTTTCAAGACGCGAGTTTTGATCAGCCAAAATGTCAAGTGGACTTTGACTCTTAGCTTTTTTAGAGCTTCGTCTTCGTTGGCTCTTCAGTCGGCACAATACGTTCAGAAGCCATCTAGGGGTTCTCCGTATCTGTTTCAGAGCAATCGATCGTGAAAATGGCGTCCCAAGATCACTTGGACAAAATGAAGCTGCGCCAGAATTATCGCAATATGTGGCATACTGATCTTATAGGCACCATTAAGTCTAACACTCCTTGTACGTATGCTTTCTCTGTGTGTTCCCGCGTTAGCGCGTGTGCTGCTTACATGTCGTTTGTTTTAGTCAATTTTATGCTCTGCGCGTGTTTAACTGTTTGAATTTTGGGCCTTTTGTTTTTGCAGATTGCTGTTTTTCTTTGTGGTGGTGAGTTAATTGATCTTGTTTATTCTGGACTTATGTAGTTGATCTGTAATTTTGATTACCGGTTTTTTAGGAATTTGAGCTCAGATATAGGGAATTTCAATAACTGGACAGTGTTGCTATTTCTTACTCGGATCTATCCAGCCTTGTTGAATAAATCAAGTGATTTTTATCCATGATTTTGACTTAAATGGTTGTTCGAAATGCTGATGCAGTAGAAGCTTCTAAGAATTACGTGAGAGAATGCTGCATAAGTATCCAGGCTAGTGTTAAGAAAGTTTAGAATTTGGATGCTAGACTATGTTTATGTTTGATAATGTTTCTTGTTAACAAACTGAAGCTTGAGAAAACATAGATCTTTTAGATGAATGGATATAGCATGGAATTTTAGGGAAAAACAATGCTTTGATATAGATCTGGCATTTCATTCATCATATACTAGGTGTTGCCGTGTTGGTGGTATGGACAACAACCTGAATGGCAGCAATGTGTGGTGCATGTTAGTTTAATGTATGTACCACAGTGACTAACTGTTAATATGCTAAAAAGTAGAAAAACATTTTTCATTAATATATGTGTCTTATGTCAAAATTTGCAAGTGCTATTTTATTTATGCGTAGAGACTAGAGTGACCAGAGGTTCTGTTTCTATTTAGTATTCTATTTCACTGTTCCATGAATGCTGTTTAAGTGTTCTCTCTTTCTTATACTTATTTTCATGAATTTTAGAAAAAAAGTAAATATTTGGTATGCTTTAAATTGCAGTGGACCCTGTGTATCATATTTGCTTCGAAAACGAGCTCTTTACAATGATATGTCAAGGTAATTGATTTGTTTTGCTTTTTAATTGAAACTTATAAAAGGCATACCTTGTAATATTGGTGTTTTGCTGCCTCAGGTATACATGCTGTGCTGGCTATATGCCGTGCAGTGGTCGATGTGGAGAAAGTCGATGCCCTGAATTCTGCCTTGCTACTGAGGCAAGATAAACTAAACTGGCTAATTTATTTTGTAGCTGGTACTTTTTTTATAATTTTTAGGAAGTGTTTTTTATGTTTCCTTCTATGGCTGTGAAATACGGAGTATTTATTAAGAAAAATCTTTAATTTTGAAGTAAAAGTAATTTTAAGAAAGTAGAAGTTGTAGTGATTGGTAAAAATATACCTTTTGGTGTATTATTCTAGTAAGGTATTATTGAAAAAGTAAAAAGCAATTTTAAGTACCCTTCACCTCCTTCAATTTTTTTGGCTTTAAGATACTAAAAGAGTTAAAGTTAACCAGAACTGCATATTGCGGAAGAACCTATCTGAAAACAGTACTATGCTTTTTTAAGCAAAAGTACAAATTGCTGTTTTTTAAGCATTGGAAAACATTCCTTCAATGGCATACACATGGAATTTATATGCTGTTAATCTGCTTATTACTTACATCTACATAAGCTTTGGAATAGAATAAGAATAAGATCTTGAAAATGCAGTTGATAATTTATATCAAAATGGTTCATAGGTGTGCTGTTCATCCTGTTCCTTCTATAGGCTGTTTTATTTCTTCTTTTGTGCTCATATTCAACATGTGATGTTTAAGTAAACTGCAAATGTTAGAAATAAGCTCTCTGTACAGGTCGCCTACAATTTATTGTTTCTTTTACCCACCCAAAGTTTGACTTTGGCTTTCAATTTGTGAAGCCATTAAGCGAATAAACTCCTACTAGATTGTGACATCTGTTTCTGTTTGTAGTCATCATTGCATTTAGAACTTGTTAAAAGTAAATCAATAATAACTACTCCATATTTCATATCATTGATGTAATAGCAAATTGGATTTAATATCTTAGCAATATTGTACTTTGTAAATAGATTGATGTTTCCAGTTTCAGGGAATACATTGGTTTTTTCGTGTTACTCAGGGAACTTTTGGGAATAAAGCTCGGATGATGTTATACTCATAGAATTTATTTTTCTATGTGTTCAGGTTTTTCTTTGCTTTGGGAATTCAGTGGCTTCAACTCGATTTTTGTTGCAAGATGAGTTCAACATACAAACAACAAAGTGTGATAACTGCATTATTGTAATTTCTCTATTCCTTCTCCACATTTGAAGTCTAATAATCAACACCCATGCCTTCCAATTTTTTGTATTATCAATTTACCATTCTATTTTTCTTGTTGCGCTGTTAAAGTAATGTTTCTCCTTGTAGGGTTTTATGTTCTGTCTCCAACAACTTGCTTGCATTTTCTCCATAGTTGCCATGATTGTTGGAAGTGATGAGATACAGGAGGCTTCCCAGTTACTGTCTTGCTTGTCTGATATGGTCTACTGCTCGTAAGTTCCTGTTTTCTCTCTGTTTCTTCTCATTTACCTGTCGTGTTCCATTTAAAGATATAGACCATATTCACTAACTTTACTGCACTTGTTTTGTTGCAGGGTTTGTGCCTGTATGCAGGTAAACTAGGATTTACCCATCAGTCTGCTTCAATGCATATGATTAGATTAAATATCTGCTGCCTTGTTTTCTATTATAGTTTCCTTGCTTCTAATAGAATACATTATCAAGGATCTTGTGACTTTTGGATAATAGTCTACATCTGTAGTTTCAGGGAAGTTCAATCACTACAAAAGTCAATCCATTTCCTCGTAACTTTACTAAATATTTCATACAGATTTTCTCAAAATCCACAGAAATTGTTTTCTTAAAAAATGTTTTTTCCAATTTTCTTAACTCTGCTAAGTTAGATCCATACGAGTAAAAGTTCATGGGAAAAGTTTCTGTGGATCTTGGCCTTTTGTTGTAACATGCATAAATGAGGGGGAAGGAAATAGTGAATAAAATAGAGTAAGGGGGTGTTTGGAACTGATTCTGCTTCTGCTTTTTTTTTTAAAGCAGAATCAGAATCAGTTTTCAGAAGCTGGTACCTACCAGCTTCTAAAAAAACTGATTCTGATTCTGAATTAGAGCACCAGAAGTGCTTTTGGAATTTCACCCAAACACTCCAGCTTCTGCTCCTGCTCCCTGAAGGAGCAGAATCAGTTTTGAGAATCAGATACAAACACCCCCTAAAATGGGAAATTAAATATAAGAAAATAAGGAGTACAAATTGAACTTTATATGTTTGTCAAAACTCACCTTATTTATTTCAATTTTATACCGACTACGAAGTGTAAATATGTGTAATTTTTTAAATCATGTTTAATTTTCTTTCACATTTTAAGGTAATATCAAACATGAGGAAACAAATGTAGTAATGATTCTTCTTTTGCCCAACATTTTTCCGGGCATCATACAGTCTTGAGGAATTTCTTAAACAAAATAATATTTTATTTCATTATGTGGATATAAGCTGCTATTGTTGATGAATGAATGAATGAATTGTGGCAGACTCAACACAAGATTGAGATGGACAAGAGAGACGGGAAGTTTGGTCCTGGACCGATGACAGTTCCTCCACAGCAGCAAATGTCACGACTTGATCAGCCATTCCCACCCAACGTTGCATATGGCCAACCGGCCCAACCCTATCCACCACCTCAAGCATATGGCCAACCGGCCCAACCCTATCCACCACCTCAAGCATATGGCCATTTCTACCCACCACCTCAAGCATCTGGCCAACCCCATCCACAATCGCAAGGTTATCCTCCAGCTGGGTATCAATAATGAGATCTTCCGAGTGAATCGTTTGTGGTTAAAACATTTACAGAATTGAGTTGGGTTTATACCTTTAATCCTTTGAAAATGAGGATGGACTGAACCATGTGTTCTGAGTTGTTCTCTGTAGATTCCTATCCGCCTGCATACATCATAGATAATTTGTGACTTATTCAAATGCTTGGCGTTGTCAATTGTCATTGTTAGTGAATACGTTCGAGATATTGATAACTGGTGATGTTTGGCGTTGTCTATTATGGTTTTATCTATTTTAGAGACTTGTTTGGATACTTGGATCTCATAAGAGTCGAACGTGTCCTTTGTTTAAGTTAAAAATCACTACTTTGATCAGTTGATGATTCAAAAAGGGATTATTGTATTTGAATAAATGAGGAACGTTCAAGAATATAATGTAAGGTAGGCATGGACTCGGGCCGGGTGGCTCGACCCGGAACCGGACCGGCACTGTTTGGGCCCGGCCCGAACTGGTGGCCCAGCAAGGGACCGGTCCGGTTAGGCCCGGCCCGGGGGGTATACGGTGCTTGCTCGGGTCACCCAAAAGACGAACCGGTCTGGCTGGCCCGGGCCCGGTTCCAGTTTTTTTTTTTCAATTTTTTTTTTCAATTTTGGGTTGGGGTTGGCCGTCTGGGTGTTTTGGGATGTTTTGGGGGGAGGGGTGGGAGGGGTGAGGGGGGGGGGGGGGGGGGGTTAAGTAGAAAAAGCGAAAAACACACACAAACTAACAAGCCCGAGGCCCAACCCATACCCGGTGGGGACCTAGGGCGGTCCCGGGCCTCCCCCCAAACCTCAAAAGCCCGAACTAAGGTATATGAATAAAAAATGGTGATCGATGCTGTCTAGGGATAGGCACGGTCCGGGATTTGGCTTATCCCGATCCCGTCCCGGTTTTATAACAACGGTTCGGGACGGTTCGGGATGTCCCATAAAATATGCATTTGTGAAATGTGATATAAAAATAAGCTTAACATCAAAATAAAGACAACTATTTTTACAAATTTAGCTTCCCTAAAAAGTTAAGTAAAACCTTTAATTAACTATTTTTAATTTTTGTCTTGTAAATTTTTTTGGTGGTCCCCCTAATCTTGTGTTTCCTTTAGTATAATAGTAGTGCAAAATATTTTTATACTTTGTAGTACACTTGTAATTTTTCAATACGACCTTAAATTAAATAACATATCTATAAAGACTATATATATATATATATATATATATATATATATATATATATATATATATATATATATATTCTAGTAGTTATTATGGAAAATATTAAATCTATAACAAAACTAAACTATAATTTGGAGTAGTAGTTATTCCATCATAAATAGTATTCCGCACGTAATAATATATTATGGTTTAGTATTGGAATGAGAACTAAACAAATTTTAATCAAAAGAAACAAAAGAAATGAGACTAAAAGAGACATGAAATAAGATAAAATTACACTAGGGAGACTAAGGACTAGAAAGTTTTAATTGAGTTTGATTATTACATAACATTATAAATTTAAAATAACATATTAATTTCAAACGGGACACCGGGACGGGACACGATATTTTATAGCTATCCCGGTCCCGTTCCGGTTAATATCGGTGCGGGACCGGTTCGAGATGAAAAAATTGTGTCCTAAATTGATCGGGATAGTTTTGGAACGGTATCGGGATTTTTCGGTTTGGGACACCGGGACCGGGATTTTTGGCCACCCCTAGATGCGTCAATGAATTAATGCTCTCAAAAGTTGAGAACTTTGAATTACAGAGTATTAATGGAATAATTTGTATCTTTCCCCTTTGGCTAGTCTAACTCTTTATATTCTAGAGCACCACGTTGCTAGACAATGCTAGCTTGAATGTCCAAGTCCAACTGTTTGCTTAAGTTGCTAGTTGGTTATTCCATCTCTATCACACGCCGGTCAAATTGTTTGTGTACAAATATGACATTTTTGTGAAGAGAATCAATTTTCGCACCACTAAAAAAACTTGTTTGTGTCACACACAAAAACTTTTTTCTGTGACGAAAACTAAGGGCCTGTTTACTAACAGAGATATTTTCCTGTTTTCTACTTCTGTTTTTCGTTCTCCAATTTTCTGTTTTTATTTTTCAGTTTTTCTATCTCCAATTTTCTGTTTCTATTTTTTAGTTTTCCATTTTCAAATTTGAAAACATGTTCATCAATTTTTTCACACAGTTCTCCAATTCCACACCCTTGACCCCTACCTCTACCCTTACCACGATCTTACACTCTACCCATACTCCACCACAACCCTTCATACTCACTCATACCTACTCGTAGGGGTCGGGGGTAGGGAAGTTATGGGTGGGGGTGGGGTAAGGGGTATGGTCAGGGTGGGGTGGTAAGGTCTAGGGGTAGGGGGTTGGTTGGGGGGTAGTGAGTGGGTTAGGGTCGTGGTTAGGGTTAAGGGTGGGGTAGTGGGTAGGGGGGTAAGGTAGGGGTAGGGTAGGGAGTTGGGATAAGATGGCGGTAGGGTGGGGCCGGGGTAGGATGGCGGTAAGGGTGGGGGTAGTGGGTAGGGTTTGGGGTTGGGGTAAGGCAGGGGTAGGGAGTTGGGATAGGATGGCGGTAGGGTGGGGTCGGGGTAGGGAAGGGGTGGGGGTAGGATGGTAAGGGTGGGGGTAGGGTTTGGGGTTGGGGTAAGGTAGGGGTAGGGTAGGGAGTTGGGATAGGATGGCGGTAGGGTGGGCCCGGGATCCGGGTGGGGCCGAGGTAGGAGGCATGTGGTAAAGGGTAAGGTAGGGGTAAGTGGTAATATACGAGGGGTAGGGTGGGTCGGGGTGGGGTCAAGGTGGTAGGGGGGTGGCGGTAGGGTAGGGTGGATCGAGGTGGGGTCGAGGTGGTAGGGGGGTGGCGGGAGGGTAGGGTGGATCGGGGTGGGGCCGAGGTCGGGGCATGTGGTGGGGGTGGGGGTAAGGTCATTATAGGGAAAAATGGGTACGCGGGGTGGGGGGTTGGGTGGGTAGGGTAGGGTAGGGTAGGGGTAAGGTACGAGGATGGAGGTACCGGAATGGAATCGACATCTGAGCGGGACCGGACCCACCACTAGGTGTAAGTATGCAAATTCATTGCAAAGGCACTGTAGCATCTGCGTTTTCCAAATTTGGAAAACTAGTAAAAGTCACTTCTCCAAATTATTAAGGAAAAGAGAGACATGTTTCATTTTTTCCATTTTGGAAAACGATTTGGTAAACGCGTTTTTCTTTTTTCCTCTCTCCAGTTTTCCAGGAATTTCTTTGGTAAACATGTTTCCTGTTTTCTGTTTTCCAGTTTTCCAGTTTTCTGGAAAACTGGAAAATATTTCTGTTAGTAAACAGGCCCTAATTTTCTTCACAAAATGCCAGTCAAATTGTCCATATACAGACATATTGTCCGGTGTGTAAAATGCATGTACAATGGCATGTACACGAAGCATTATTGATCCCACTATCCGTTTGTTCCTCCTGATCGAACTTATTCATGCTTATCCTTCCGTGAATTTGGACATGGGCCACTCTTCTATTTAATTTATCAGCTATCCTTGGCCCAACATCCTTCTGGGTGACAATTCCAAGTAACACTTTTGTCCTTTTGCATTGGGATTGGGAGGTGAGAGTTTGAATCCTTATAGGCATATAATTTAAGCACATAACTTGACACCTAATATTTTTCTGTTTTCTCTCTATATTTACAACGTCTAGTTCAACAACTTCAACGTATCGAAAGCATTTGATTCAAATGCATAGAAATTTTACATTGGGAAAGTTCTCTAAACAGGAATAAAAAAAGGTTTGAAATTTCAAATTAGGACTTCCATGTTATTATTCCTTAAATAGGAGTAATTTCTGCCAAGATTGAATAAAACTGCCATACTTTTTCCAAACTAAACATAAATTACTCCTATTTAGAGAATAAAAACATGAAGGTTCTATTTTGGAACTTCAAAACGTTTTTAGTCCTATTGAGGACAACTTCTATTTTAAGTTTCGCCGTTATAAAAGAGAGACTCGGGGGGGGGGGGGGGGGGAGGTAATGATAGCATTTATTTATATTTAATTAGTAAAAAGAGGCACTAAATTGCTTTTGTTATTTTTTATTGTTAATCTAGTGCTAAACCACCCTAAGATGGGTAAGGGTTGGGGAACATTTTACTAGTTTATTAAACTTGAATGTAAATTGCTTAAAAGTTATAGTGTTACTGGGCTAGGGGTGGATTTGGTCTGGCAGTCCGACGGTCCGGCCCGGTACGAAATCAGGTTAGAAACTGTTTGGGGTTGGACCAACGCTGCTGCCCAAGAGTGTTATCCGGTTCCAGTTAACAATTTTAGGTCCCAAACCGGGCGGTTCTTGCCCCTATTTCAGTCCTAATCGGCCTTTTTTTGAATCCTGAAACCGATTTAAAAAACAACGGGTTCATGTATCCGGAACCGGTCTAGTCCTGAAAATAGCGGGTTTGTTGGTGTTGCATAAAAAATTGCTCATTGTATGTGTACTCAATGATACCAACAAGCTATCACTATGCCTTATTCCCACCCTCAGATGAGTCTACTACGAAGTTGGTCACCAAGTATGATGATATTTTGTGTGGACTCATGCAATCTTGGTAACAAATCTTTCATGTATTAGACACCAACTTGAAACAAATTTGTCAAGAACTCATGGAAGAGACTTTATTTGACATTCTATAGTCCACCCAAAAGGATCAAAATCATGTAGCTTTCTTTTGACTCTGGGAGGGGGGGGGGGGTTCACACTTTCCTTGAAGTCAGTTAAAACTTTTCATGTATGATTTTAGTGAGTTCTGTTTTACACTTTCAATTGTTGGTACAAATGACTTTATTGATGCATGTGAGCAAATGCATAAACTTGTTTAGGTTCTCATTGATCAACTCTTTTTGCTAGAGTTTTTTCGGAAGTGCACATTTTAACCATTTGAGCATTTAAGGACATATCTTTCACACACTCACACTCATCACAAAAAAATGTTTAGGACACTGGTTTACCTCCATGACATCCACATTTTCCATTACTTAACCCCACATCTTTCTCCTAAGGCAGAGCCCTTTTGAGCTTGATAATTTGTTTTCTTTATCCTTTATTGGTATATGATCCATTGCTTTGACTTGTCAACCAGGAGCATAGTAGTTATCCAAGTCATCAACGTAAGAGAGAAGCTGTCTGGTGGGATCTATTGCTACATCTACTTAACTTCATGTAGTCCTTGGGGTAGTTGCAGGTGGGTGTCTCGATTCAGGGCTATAACACGAGTCTAAGATGGTCATGTTGCCATACTTCCATTAGATGAATGAAAGGTGTTTGTTAATGGAGGATCTTGGCAGATAAAGTGAACCACCTATTGGTTGGCACCGACCATCCAAGGAGGTTGTATAATTTTGTT